CGTGTCGCAAGACGTCTCCCTAATGCATCCCACACATGCTCTATGGGATTTAGATCTGGGGAGTAAGCTGGCCAATCCATTCGTGTGATATCTTCACTTTCCAGTAGCTCTTGAACATTAGCAGTACTGTGTGGCCGGGCATTGTCATCCATGAAAATGAAGTCTGGTCCAATGGCCCCTCGGAACAGACGCACAAGGGGTAGGATTACCTCATAGCGATAGCGGTCTCCAGTTACAGAACCTCGCTCGAAGATCTCAGTCCGCCCGTTCAACATAATGCCACCCCAGACGACAACTCCAGGACCACCGTAACGATCTCTTTCCGCGATATTATTGGGATGAAATCGAGCTCCAACCTCTCTCCAGTTCAACTAACGTTGAGAATCGCTTGTAGCACTAAACGACTCTCATCTGTGAAGAGGACGCGACTCCATTGATGAGGTGTCAAGGTTTCGTGTTCTCTGCACCACTCTAAGCGGTGCCGCCGATGGCTAACTTTTAAAGGTATGCAGCGTTCAGGATTTCTAGCAAATAAGCCACCTTTGTGGAGGCGTCTGGCCACTGTAAATCTTGATACTTGTCGTCCTGTGGCTGTGCGCAGGTGCTGAGATGTGGCGCTCGCTGACTGAAAATGGTTTCTTTTCGCCTTGAGGACAATGTAACGGTCATCTCTTGGTGTTGTTTTCCTTGGACGGCCACCACCAACCTTCCGAACAGCTGTACCAGTAGTTTTAAAGGCATTCCAAGCACGAGAAACAACACTTTTGTTGATCCCGAACTCTTCGGCGACACTGGTCACACTACGCCCCTCCTCAAGCTTCCCAATAATTCTTCCTCGAGTAAAGTCGTCTAAATGATTTCTTGAAGACATGTTTCACAAAACAAATCACTTGCACTTGCAGCGAATGTCTTTAACTACGGTGCTCTTCATCCTTTTATCACAGCTTTGACCTGCGCGCACCGACCCGCAAGGTTTACGTACACTTACATCACCTACTACGTTTTATTTCTAAAATTTGTATACAAATAATCTTTCTACTGAATTACGTGCAAACAATACTGTAATTTCATGGCTATCTTATGCTTTGTTGGGGAGCTGTGGCCGAAAAACCACTTGTTGCTTAAGTTTTGCACACCAATGTATATTCTTGTTGGCTTTTTCAAAATTATGTGATCTCTTTTTCAAACTGAAAAGAGCTTTTAAGCCATTCTTTGTATTTACAAAGAAATCCGCACATGTATGTAAATAAGTAAATAAATCCCACTGCCCCCTTAAATTATGGATAAAACATGCACCATAGTTTGATGCATTTGTGTTTAGTGCCTTTAAAACACTTTAATTAATCATATAAGGCCATGATCCAAGTCCCAGTTCCCCTTGTTTTAATTAGGTAGGTAATTTATTTACGTCGCACTAGAGCTGCACAGAGGACTATTGGCGACGGCCTGGGAAATATTGCTGAGGATAATTCGAAGACATGCCATCGCAATTTCGATCCCCTGCAGAGGGGATGGTTCGCCTGCTTTGGTAACCCGACGACCTGCCCGTGAAGTCGAGCACTTTAAGGTACAACAAATTAACAAGGAGTGATACCGTGCACTCTCGTTCCCTGCACTGGCTGATCAAATTGGTCACCCACCCGCTTACTAAACGCAGCCAGTGATGTTTGACTTCGGTGTTCTACTGGGAACCGTGTCATTACGATCAGTCCATTGCGGGACACTTGTTATCATTAAGAAAGTACATTAAGAAAAAATATTAAGTAGTCAACAATTTGAATAAATCACTATTTTAAATAAACTATAGAAGTGTAAACAGATTACAATGATTCTAGTTGGTAAATGGTACAGACATCAAACGGTTAAAATTAGAAAATAAATGCTAAAATAAATGACAGTTCAGAAAAACATTTTGGTAATTTTATCGTGATACTTTAGACTGGTTTTGGCACAGGGTGTTCAAAAATATTTGTTTCCTTTCGTAATCTATTATCTGGCTTTCAAATCTCTGAAAGCTTTAAACCTAATTGATAAGTATGAGAAATCACATGACCTAAACTCCTCTTAATTTTTAAAATAATCCTCTAGGTATGTCTTGAGAAATTTTAAAAAAATGTTAAAAACTGAGTCTGTTCCATTATGGTAAAGATGTATCCATATCTTGGTACCAAATGTAGATAAACAAAATTAATTTAATAGCTATATTCCTAATTGTCAAAAAGCATGCATCAAATTATAATTTCTAGCTATTTTACGCCGTAGTTCATTCCTATTAATTATTTTGAAGTTTGACTCTGGTCGCCTTTGCAAATAGAAGTTAGCCTTTTTCAAGCTTTAGACTTAGGGTATTGTTGAACTAACTCACAAATAAAGAAATTGCCCTTCTGAATGTATTTATAAATAGTGCATAACACAGTATTTGCTCATTAAAAAATATCTAACGCAATCACTGGACTACTTTTTAATGATTCGAAGAAAATACTTGAAAATTGCTTTTGCCATCTAACTATTGTTCTTCCTTAATCAAAACAGAATTTCAAGGCAACTTTATGATTCGGAGGAAGAATTAATTGTTTCCGTAGTAACATCCCGTTTGCTTTAAATTGGTGAAACAGGTGTGCATACTGCATTGTTTCATCAGATGCTGAGAAAGTTTAATCTTGTATTTGCAACTATTACCAACTATTCAAAGCATGAATCAACTCTCGGTTTATGAGATAATAGGATCTGGAAACTTTATATGCAACTAAGTATACGAAACTAAATTAACTTTTTCTATGAAGAAAAATACAAACATATAACCTTTTCGTAAAATATTAGCTATATTATAATTTTGCAGATAAAACGGATACAGATAATTTTGCAGATAGAGCGAAATACTCAATAATTCAAATTAAATGCTATTCATTCTCGTGACTAAATTTTCAGGACAATATTTTCCAGACTAGGGCCTTTATTTTTAGGAAATCCAATATTTAAGCCGAGTCTTTCCAAAAAAGACATTTTTATTTAGAATTGTGTGTCTAATTTCGTGTATTAAAATAGTGTCTGCGTAGTTTAATTAGCATATTTAAGGTCTATTTCTAGATTCATTTAGATTGCAAGTTAATATTTTATTTTATATTTTTATAACCGTCTTTGAACAGCCGACCCGATTTTTGGGTTTACGACTACTAATCATCAACGCCGTAGCTTCGTAATTTTGAACCCAATCCAGAAGACAAGGGAACTCGTGGATCAAGCAATGGGAGAAATTTGCGTGGAGGACTCTTTGACGGAACTAACCGGCATTTGCGTTACATGGAGAGGAAAACCACGAAAACCTCCCACGCTTAGCTTGACGGCAAGGGGACTATAACCCACAATGCGTCTACCACTGAGGATATTTTACGTCAACAATGTGGTCGGTGCAAGTCGAATGCGGAATTCATATCTACCAGCCATCGCTGGGATTTGAATCCGGTGCACCTCAATGGAAAGGGAACGCTCTATCCCCTGAGCCATCACGGTCCTGCATGTTTATATGTGAAAATCCAAACTTTTGGCCAAAAGTTATAAAGGTGTTCCATTGCTTTAAATTTTGCACAAGGTATCTTGAGAACAATGTTTGGCATATGGCTTATATGCGGGATGTTCCATAATTACCTGGCGTAATATTTACCTTTTGAATCCTTGTCAAAATTATACTCATTGGGAGTCTCAAGTTAGTTTTAAAGACATGAGAAAATGAAAAAAAAACTATCGTAATCTGACAAGTCACTATTAAAGGAAGTGAAACTTAAGACATGTTTGATTGCTGAAGAAAGCAGGTAATTATTCCAAGAACTTCCAAGTTTCATCAGACAATCAAACTGGTTTTAAAATTATCTATCCCACCATAGTCTCTCTAGTGACCTGTCAGATTGCGGTAGCGCTTTCATTTCTTAATCGCTTAGATATTAACACGCTGAATGCCACGCTAATTTTACATGGCTTGCCCGTCTGGCCAAAATTATTTTCTCAGTATGTATTGCATTAATTTCTTCAAATCATTTAGTAACGATAATAATATAAAAAAAAAATAAAAGCATTAAAAATTTACTTGAATTAAGTGTATCTAATAATCTTGGCTACGCCGGTCACCGGTGATCCCCATGGCATTCAACGTGTTATGCCAATTAATTCAATGTGCGTACGTTTCATAATTCAATGTGCATACTTTTTTCTGCTTTTATCTTCTAAGGATTCTAGAAATATATTTTAAGGGTGGTCATTAAGGAACACCCTGTATATCATATTATTCATTTTTATATTATTCTGACAATTTGAAATTTATGAAATTAAGTATTTTAAATTAAGTTTAATTTTTGGAAAGTATAATTTGGGTTCTTATTCGTCTTGTTTGTACTTTATTTAAAACAACTGCTCAAATTTATTCTCATGTTTGCATGCGTAATCATTTGATTAAAAGAAGTTTTTGTTTCAATTTGGGCTAAAGAATCGTACAACACAATAATAAATTATATAACAGAATTGTTTTTCGTTGTAACCATCGAAATGGAACTACGCAAAAAGTCACAAATTAAATAAATACTTTGATTGTGGAAGTATTTTAAAAAAAAGAAAATGCGAAAAACATAAAATTGGAAAGAAAATTATTCTAAACATTTAATTAATCTTTTTAACTTTACAGGAATATGCTGTATTCAATTAAGTGTACTTAAAATTAATGTTTAATAAACAAAATACATTTAACATAATTAACACATAACAATTTAACACAATCATCTTTAGCGTGTTTCATTATTTTTTGCTAAGGTATCCATTTAAATAAAACTTTTGATCTATCGATTTACTTCAAATAGTTTTGGTTTTGTTAAAAAAAACTTGTCATATACTTAAACAACATTTCGTTTGTGCAATAATAATGTATTGTTCTAAGATAAGGAAAACAATTGATGACTTAATTCAGAATGTTATAGAATGCATTTCCTGAAAAATAATGGAAGTATAGTATTTCTTTTTGATTACCGTTTGTTTATAGTTATTAATACATTCTCGTACGATAATCATTTGAGATAAGTTCATAAATTGTGTTTCTTTTGTTCGCGATCTGTGACATTTCATTTAATCCGACGAAATATGTAAAATTAATAATGAGAATTAAAATTATTTTGATTATAAATCAAACAAAGGAATAAGACAGCTAGAACTGGAATGAATCGAAAGCTCACCACAGGTGCGAGACTTAAACTCTACCAAGTAAGTTAATAAAAATCACTATTACCTACATCCTCTATACCGCAATTTTTCAATTTTTTTCAGCTATACTGTTAAAAAAATTTGTGTATAGTTGTTACCTTTTTTGATGTTGAGGTACACTAACACTTATTACGATGAATGTAGTCATATTTTTTATTTACTTTATCACTGTCATAGTTTTAGTCATTTATTTATTAATTTCTGTTTTTTTATTAAGTGACAACACATATTTTCATGTGCATTAGAATCAATTTATAGTTTCATTCCACAAACATTTCGTAGTATTGCACAATAGCACATTTTTAGTAAAAAAATTTATATTTTGTAAAATAGCATATTTTTAGTAATATATTCGCACTAATTCTTTCAAACAATTGTTATTTTGTCAATTTTATATAATTTTTTGCACACGATCACTACCGTTCCATATTTAAAAAGGCATTTAGTTTATTTCAACACCAAAAATGATGCCAACTATGCACTAATATTTTTAGATTGTATGGAACACCCTAAATAACCGAGCTTCTTGTGGTGGAACCTCGACTTTATTAATAAAGGTCATTAGCAGCTGTAAATAAACTTACCAAAAAAAACCATTAATTATTTTGAAATATGAAGACCGAAAATCTGAAAAACAAAATATTTTCATCGGTTTATCAGTAATATTCTCAAAATTATGACAAATGTCAGATAGTTTAAATAACAACATTCTATATGGTATCTGAATTAGTTTTTAACGTATACTTATGATTAAAATGAATAAAATAAGTCGAATTAAGAATTTTTTTTTTAAAAACTGTTATAAATGTTGAAAAATGTTTATAGGTATCAGAGAAACCTAATTCTTTATTTTTGAATTTTGTTATTGTATTTTTAATTGGAAAGTTCGATAAGAAATGCTATTGGAAACTTCTATAATTGCATATTATTTTCTAAATTTATCCCATAGCTTGTTAATGAAAAAAATATTTTTTCTTTAATTTAGTTATTTCTTTTTTCATTATCATTTTACTTAGAAAATATTTAGATAAATAACCAAAATATTAAATAAGATACGGAAAAAAGTCCTTACTATTGGAATCCCAGTGATCCTATCACGGAACCTTGGGGTTCCGCGGAACATACGAAATGCTGTTCTATACCGATGTATTATAAGGTTCCGACGTACCTTAAAAATTAAAAAAAAAATAATGACGACATAGATACTTCAATATATTTGTGACCACCATTACAAATTATATTTTTCAAGAAGTATTTAATATTTGAAAATTCCTCCGTAACAGACAGCTAAAAACTAAATCACTCTATATTAGAAAAAAAAATTTTTATTAGCATTATCGGTGATTTACTACCATTAAAAGAAATTCTCAAAACCCGTAAAAAAAGTCTGAAATAGATAGAATGATAAATGAAACTGAACTATGTACTGATATGTAGTGAAATATCGATTTTTTTTAAATATCACGATGATTTTTAATATGAATTATCACGCTATATCGTAAATACCATGATTTGCTAATTATCGACAACGGATACATCGCGATCACAATCAAAAACGATTAAAAAAACATGTCACCAGTGTTCAGTGTGTTAGCACATTTACTTTATTATACCTCGAATGCAATAATATCGCTATCATTATCGACAGTAATATATATCGAATGCAAAAATATCATGTGTATTAACGGTAATGATTGTCGATTATGATAATATCTCGAGTAGTGATAAATTTCATTTGGGTTATGAAAACATTGAGCTATATAAAAATACGATAAATTAATTAAATATCGTGATATATCATGAGATATCGGTATTTCCTGATTAGATTTAGCGGTATAAAATTCAGATGTTCACTAATAACTTTTTTTATTGCTTATTGAATAGCGAATCAAATTTGAATAGAATTTTTTTACAGGCAAAAATGCTCGACTGAAATAAATCTAAATATTATTTAAAAAATTATTATAAAAATTTTAAAAAAATTTTAAAAACTTTTAAAAAATATGTAAAAAGTATTTTTAAATGTTTGCTTGACAAAAATGCAAGCTATATCATGTTTTTTTTTTAACGAATAAGTAATTTTTTGAAACAGGGTTTTCTATCAGAGGCATAGCTAGGGTTTGCAGCTTCAGGGGACAAGCTCAGTTTATGCGCCCTATTTAAATGGGTGCAGATTCTGTTTAATTTTTAGGTAAATTGAATAAATATTTGAGGAAGTTATGGGGCCCACAATTAAGAAGTGAAACTGAGAATATTTCATAGAAAAAAGCATTTTACTCTAGAATTCATTTTTAATTATTTTTCATAAATTTGACACCCTTTAAGGCTGCCCCCGGGGACACATATCCTTTCTTGCCCCACGCTAGCTACGCCGTTGTTTTAAGGAGGCCTTCTAACGTTTATTGCATCACTGTGAAAAATCAAGAACAATTTGATGTCATATTGAGTTATTCATAATTCTAAAAGAATGAATCATAAAGTGAGCGTGAACAAATTCATTAACTATTCTGCGTTTTAACCTTCATTTTTATTTATTTATGCCATCGCAAGTCAAACTTTAGTTCGATAAACTGATATGTTATGAGAGTAGCACGTGTTTATTCATTGTTTTCTAAATTTCATGCCTTACAAAAGTATTTTAGAATTTAAATTGAAGTGAACTAAAAAGCAGAAATAAATTAATGCTAGGATTTCGAAAGATTTTGGAAACTAAAATAGCAAAATTATCAAGTAGGTTTCTCAAATAATTAAACATATTTTTTTAAACATAAATATATTTTTATATCATAGAAACTATGTAAAAGCTTGTAAATAAAACTTCTTTCTTTTTTAGTGGACTAATAACCCATTAAAAGCTCCAAACATTCCCTTTCGGGAACATGTCATTTTATTTAAGAAAAAAAAGTAAGAGACTGCTATTTAATTATTTAATTCTTAGATTTTAGATAGAAAAAACGATAAATTATTGCCCCCAATTACATATTAACAATCAAAGTAGTTTTCACATATTTCTATATGAAAAGTAACAAACTCATTTTGTTATGACATGTCGTTTCTAATGAAATTTTGACAAGCCAAGCTCTCCAGCCATTGGCCTTGCAAATTAAGTCAGAAAGTTGTTGTTGTTGTTGTAGTTAATTTACGTCGCACTAGAGTTGCAAGATGGGCTTGGCGACGGTCTGGGAAACACCCCTGAGGATGATCCGAAGACATGCCATCACAATTTTGATCCTCTGCAGAGGGGATGGCACCCCCGCTTCGGTAACCCGACGACCTGCACGCGAAGTCGAGCACTTTACGGTAGAACAGTTTAACGAGGACCAATACCGCACACCCTCGGTCCCTACTAAGTCAGAAAGTAGTGCCTTTCGTTTGACAAGAGAGCTCAGCTAGAGTGAAAGTGCGACTTAGCTCAAAAGCCCGGAATTGATGGCAGCACCACTCATTCGGAGGGCACTTCCACAATTGAGACACAGATCTGAATGGGAAGAAAATTGTACCTATTATACTCATCAAGCGACTGATCACAAGACTTTCGATTCCACTGATTTTCGAGAACAAATTTACGAGTAGTGTATCGCATGCACTCGGTGGGCCTTAGCTGTAACAAAAATCGAATACTTTTCTTGCCAACTTGTACGCTGTAAGTTTTTCCAAGTTTTGCCTCTCACTAACCTTTTACACATTAACTAACTTCGCTACAGCGAAAGTTTGGATATCTTTTTAACCTTCATGTCGAATTGTCTTTCGTCTCTTCATTTTTCCTATCTATCAATCAATTCAAAGCAAGTTTTTATATAGTTCGGCCTTTACAGTAGCTGTAATGGTGAGAATTTTCGCCGACCACGACTTGTGCCAAGGATTTGATTCCCCGAGCTGAAGACTGGGTGTCTGATATATTTCCACCTTTTGCGATAATATGTTTGTGAATTGGAAACTCTTCAGCTGCGGTAGTTCGGAATCGGTTATTTCGGAGCCGGTCCACGCATGACTGGGTGGTTTGGAAACGTGGTGCAGGGACCAGATGATGACTACTGCCATCTACCTTTCAGTTTAAATTTTGGTAATGTTGTATGCACATGCTCCAGTATTTTCTTCGGATCATCATTATGGATAAATCCCAGATCGCTAGGGAAGTTTTAGTGTGACGTAACCAACCAAACCAAACTTTACACCGGCAATATAGAACTGTAATTACATAGCATGAAGTTCGTAGCACGTCCAATCTAATCTAATCTGAACAAACGCTTTGTAACGTGCACTCACATTGAGGCCCCTATGACCAAAGAGCATCCCTGTCCTTCATACTCTCGTCCCGTAGTAGACTCATCGTGAAGACACGGCTCCCAGTAAAACACCGAAGTTAAGCATCACTGTCAGTTAGCGGGTGGGTGACCACTTTGATCAGATGAGTAGGGATCGAAGTTGAGCGGTATTGATCATCGTTTCACCGAACCCTTTCCACCATGTTCATTCAAACAGTGCTCGACTTCTCGCGCAGATTGTCGAGCTACCAAAGTGAGGGAGCCTTCCCTTCTGCAGAGGATCAAAAACCGTCATGGCATGTCATATTCTCAGGGATGTTGTTTCCCAGACCGACACCAATAGCTCATTGTTCAGCTCTAGTGCGGCGTAAATAAAGTACCTCCCTATTCTTTATATTACCTACCTACATAACCATCATAGTACGTATCTATCTGCTCTCGGGTTCGAATCCAACTATAACCCTGGATATAGCTTTTGCTGCTTTTGTATTTGTGCTATCCGTTCCTCTATTTGTCAAGGGTTTGCAAGCGTTTATTTATTTATTGTAACAATTGCATGTACAGGCTTGTGTGGTCATTTCAGTTACAGCTTATAAACCTTTATCAATTTGAAGAACAGATAGAACAAGTTAGATATAGACATAACAAAAATGTTTCCGTTTTACGGTAGGATTCGAACCCACCACCTCCACTCTACAGAACGTCTGCGGAAAGGCAAAACCATTCTGCAAGGGAAGACATATGTAGCAATAATTTTTTTTTAATGGCGGCCACCATTGGCCACAGAAGGTGCCAGAACTGCTAACTGTCTTTTCGTTACCCAGTGGGCACCTGTGGCGAAGAGACGGCGGTGGAGCAGCGTAACCCACGTCACACTACCACAACCCGTTTATAGGGCGGGTCACTTTCACACAGTCACACACAAGGGAGAAAAGACATAGAACACAGATAGAGAGAAAGAAACATCCATGCCTTGCCCGGGATTCGAACCCAGAACCTTTCTGATGCAAGGACAGTTCCGTGCCCCCTATACAGCCGGTCGGCATGTGAACATTTAGCTATTCGGTTAGAAATTACAAAATTCACTACTGAGAATCTCGATTACTTAGTTTTATTGGAAGGTAAATCCACAATCACTGCTCTCATCTCAGCTACCCATAAATCCTTTCATAGCATCCTCCTCTTACAAAAAAATATTATTTCAGCAAGTGCCCCGTGAAATCTTTAACGATTGCTTGGATACCTGCTCACGTCGGCATCCCTCCCGACGAATCCGTGGACAGACTGGCTGAACAAGCCACCAATGCACCTCAAGCCATTTCTTTTATCTCGCTCGAAGACTTTTCATATTCATCACATTGAGACTCAAACCACGAACTCAATAACTCCTGGATGAACTCGAAATACCACAAACGATTCCCCATTTCTCACCTAGTTAATAAAATTTCTCTCAACCAACTCCCTAACCGAAAATACGATATTTTAATCTCACGTCACCGAAAGAATACAATTCGATTAAATTTAATTTGGAACAAGATCAGACTCATGGACTCCTCTTTGTGTGAGGACTGTCATCCTCCAGACTCTGTAAGCCACCTCCTCTTTAAGTGCCAAAAAAATCGATCCTTATAGACAAGCATTGCGGGCCTCAATCGGGATGTTCCCAATCTCCGCTCACAGTCTCCTCAAGCTATGACCAGCACCAAAACCTTTTTAAAAATTTAGTGTTCTATTTGGGTTTAACCAAATGGTTCTAGTCCTCAACCTACTAATCTTACATGCTCGTAAATACAACACATTTTAAATGTTACTGGTGTTTGCCTCCCTGATAGCCTAGGGAAAAGAGCCTTCCGTTAAGAGTTTTCCTCTGACGGGTGTGCGTCTCTCCAAAAGTGTTGGAACCACCAAATTTTTATTTTGAATTCTTCGATAACTACAAACTAAGCATAGAAAAAGTTATGTGTTCCCTTTTTTTTTATCTTCTTGTTATTTCGCCTCTTCATCATCATCAACTCAACCAATCCCTGAATTCAACTCAAAGCATGGAGGATAAAAGAGAGTAGCACAGATCCTCTCCCTCACCATCACAAGTACTCTTTTTCTCAGAGGTAGCGGGTTCGAATCCTGCTGATACCCTGGATGTATCTTCGTACTCTCCTTCTCTGTATTGTGCTACCTCTCCTTCTATTTGTCAAAGGTTTATAAGCCTAAAATAAGCGCACAAGTCGCCTGCAAATGCATGTAATTCCAATAAACTCTTTTTCTCACAGCATTTCTAACAACAAATGAATCATTCAGTTGAATAATCTAGATATGTCAATCAAGACAATCGAAGTAAATCAATGTTTTATTATATCTTTCGTTTATCCTCAATTATCTTAGTTTTCCCTCTACCTTAATACCACAAAACAGGAGAGTTTTGAAAGCACTTTATTTTCTTGATATTCATATCCATCTTAAATATTGGTTTATGTTGACCAAACAGTTCATACATCAGTAGTTAATATTTTTGATCAGAGCTCTTCTAAAAACCAAGAAATTAAAGGTAAAAAGTCACAATATATTCATCTTAGAGTTCTGTTTGGTAAGCTGCTGTAATTTTGCCCACTAACTTGAAAAAATAGGACCATTGTAGTAAAATAATTTTCAAAAAAATTTATTTTAATTTATTTTTCCCCTTGCATTTAGTTTCCAAGATTAAAATTAATTTTGACTTAAAATATATTGTCATATGATTATTTTTTTGGATGTGCAATTACTGTGTATTAGAAATAGATTTTTATTGGATTATCAAGACTCGAAGTACAATTAAAAATCAATTTAAATTGAATAAACTTCTTATTGTGTATGTTTTGCTGCTTTGTTTTGTATTTGATTCTTTATTGCTTTTAATTCTTTGTTTAGACATTAAAAACACAAACACAAATTTAAACTACATTACCCCCATTTTGAATTTCGTCGCGAATGACAAAATGAACAATTCCAGCTTAATTATTTAAGAAAGTTTTAAATTAAATTTAATGTGATTTTTTTTATTTCGATTAATAATAAATCTTGTGATGTGTAGATTTATGAAACATTTTGCAATCTTTACATTGAAAAAATATAATGAAACTCAAAAAAAAAAAAGCAATTTTGCAATAATCAAAGCCCTACATTCTTTTTCAACTTCTTTCTTAGAATTCTGAAAATCATAAACAAAGGTTACTCTTAGTGTTATCCAGTTCAATCAGAAGATTCTTAGTGTTAAAAAGCTTGATGTTTTTAAGCGTGTGGCTATGCAGGTGCATTTTGGAACGATTACATTATACACATTACAGGACTTTATTATTCTTTGTTATACACATTACAAGACTTTATTTCTCTTCGTCTAATGCGAAAATAAAACAAATTCATAGTTCATTGTATTATTGCGCCATCGTATTTGCTTTTCCAAAGGCTCAGAATTAGCCATAGAATTCAAGATAGAAGTTGTACAATCTAGTTAAAAGTGAATTATATCGAATATATTGTAAATATAACTAGAGACATGAGTTACATGAAATTAATTGTCCCTGATTTTGAAATTGTTAAATTTTAAGTTATGAAAAGTATTATATATTATTGATAAGCTTAAAAATATTTTATTGCTCTTCAATTATACGAGTGTCTTTGAAAAGTTACTTCTGAAATTTGAATAGAAATTTGATTATAATTCTAAGTTGTTTAACCATTAATAAATTAAACATTAGAAAACAGTTAAAAAAACGATTACACAATTTAACTTCAAGGAAGTCAATTTTTTTAATGTTGTGAAAGAAATTGTTTTGTTCCTGGAATCATTCCCAAAGATATAACGACTAGCGCAAATACTAAAAATAATATATATGATTCAAACTTTCGAGGACTATCTTTCGTAAACCAATTTTCTAAATAATTATTCATCACCTCCCTAGTATCAAGAATATGAATCCATAAAATAAGTCTTGTTTGTTTAGAAAAAACTTGATCTTTAAACCACTAAGACTGCCTCGTAATACAGGAAAAAGCGATCAGTACATTGCAAGTTATACAGATAGTTTTTTTAATCAATAACCAGCTCCCTTTTGATAAATTTTTGAGATTTTATTACTTTAAAAATTGATCAGTGTCACTATTTTTAAGTAAATACAGTTGTTATTACTTAAAAGGTTTTTGATTTGAAAAAAGGCATTGTGGAAAAATTTTTTCCAAACTCTATTAAAAGAATGGTCGGTTTGTCTTGCTCAAACAAATAGTGTAGAAAAACCTTTTTTTTTACTTGGGGAATTGTTACTTTTGTATTTTGAAATTTAAAGTGTTCCAAAAATACTTACGTACTTTTAAAGATGTAAGAAATTGGTTACGAAGACATTTGCAAGATATTATATGCTAAAGATGTGTATTTTCTTTTTAAAAAAATCATATTTAATTTATAATGTTCATAATAAGTGATCAAAATATCAAAATAAAGCTCCCTTTATGATAAAAACAACAAACGATATAAAAATAACGAAGAAAAATTTGTAAAGATAAACTAGTTATCAATTTGATTGCTTCCCCTTTTTTAACTTATTAATTGTCAAGCTAATTAAGCAAATATGTGCAGAAACTTAACAAATAAACGCTATGTCCTCATTGAGAAACACAGTGTCCTAAACATTTGAAAACGGTTAAATATCAAAAATCTAAATGTCCATGTGTAAAAAAAATGTATTCACTAGTATCAAACTCAGCCCCTCAACATTTGGGGGAGGGGGTTAAATTACAAATCTTAAATTTAAAGAAAAAAACACTTCTTATAACAAATTTGAAAATTACAGAAAAATATTTATCAATTTATCTTACAAGTATTTATATTTTAGTTCATAAATGACGCTGTAAGCCCCTGGAGTGACTGACAGGAGCTAAGACAGAGTTTGGTGGCCAAGGTCGAGTTTGATGTTTGTTTTATTTTTTCGATGTATTTCTTAAGGTTCCTCCATTTTAAACAATTTTTACCCAATTTTCATTTTGAAATTACAGCTTTATCTCTTATCCAAATACAAAGATCCGCAAATAAAATTGAGGTACTTTTTCTGGAAAATCCAAATCTGCAATAAAAAGGGGGATTTCCCTTTAAGATTTTGAATTTTTCCTAGCCTAAGCCCCAGGAGTTGACGAACCAATTTTAGTCTTATTAAATTCATCTTTAATAAATACTTCAGTTTTGTTTTTTGGATTTTTGATGCTATGCGCATTTCTCGAGATATTTGTCAATTTCCATACTTTTCTGACATTCTGTATAGAAAAACAGAGCAACTGCTTTGTTTCTTTCAACAACGAAAATTCAAGATTAGACAATTCATTTTTTCTTTTAAAAAATGCATATTAATTGATATTGATTTTTCATGCAAATAAACATTAATGTTTTATAATTTATTTTTCGTTGCCTTCTAGACTCGCCGTTCAGACAGTGAACCAGTTGGTATGGAATACAATGAACTTCAATTACATAACATAAGAATGGATTCCAAGATGCCTGCAAGTGAAGATAGTGGAATAGATATTTATAAAACTGTGCCAAAAACAAATTTACAAATTAATGGTCTTGACAAAAATTTGAAGTCGTCATCTGCACCTTCATCTCCCGGAAAGCTATGTGAGTAATACTTAATACTCCTTCCAAAAAAGAATTATGTACGTGTGCATTGAAATTTATACAACTTCAAAATCCTAAATAGCAACTCCACGTTTTTATTACAAATTTGGATTCTCTATGGAAAATTCATTGATTAGATTTTTAAATTTCGAATTTTGGCTTAAACTTTTTTCCCAAACTTTTTACCCCCATTTTAATTACTTTTTCTATGAATAAAATAAGGTAAAGCACTTTGCAATAAATTTGTCTTCCTAGAACTTGGTAACAGGGTTTAGAGTTTGGTTTCCTTGGACAGGTATTTTTAAAATATCCCATCCTCCCATTTTTATTTTTTTGATTTGAACTATCTAAAAATACCTTTTTCTCACCTCTTGGTGATAGGGCGTGTCTCGGGGATCTAAATTAGAAAAGTGATCGAGTCTTGTGTCATTAGATATGTTTTTCAAATCATCTATTTTTATTTTTGAGATATGTTTCCCGTCATCTTTATTTTGCAATTACAACCTAACCTATGAATCAAAACTCAGCAACCTGAGTATCAAACAAGATTACTGGAAAATCCAAATCTACAATAAAAAATAAGGCTTTCCATTTAAGCTTCAGTTACGCACCTTACTCCATCAAAGAATATATGAGTATATAGGAGAAGAAAGTGGTTTGTTCTCACTTTTTGCACTATTTATAAATAGTTATTTCTTTGGTATTGTTTAAGATATTTCTTTAATACATTTATATCATCCATGTTGATTAAATCTGCCAACATATTTTGAGGTAAAAAAAAATAAAATGGTGGTTGACAGGAGACAGCGTACGCAACCATACACGTAGAGTTGTCCAACAACTGGTTCTCGGGTGACGTAATTCCTGACTGTCAACCCCCAGAGGGGGAGATAAAAGAGTCATTAAATTTATTTTTTTTTTAGAATATATTTAAACTTTTAAATTTCTGATCCAATGTGAAATTTGAGTTTGAATGCATTTTGGGCACCCGTTATATTAACACTAGAAAGACTGAATATTGCAGTTTACTTGGAAAGTAAACTGCAATATTCTTGGAAAGTTGTTTAACGGTAGATCAGTTCGACATCTAAATTCTTAAAATAAAATCATCGAAATCAAAAACCTAAAATAAAACATCGATCATCAAAATTCTATGGTATTTTATTCGATTCGGTTAACGAAAATATTTAAATAAATGGAACGCTGACTTTTCAATAATACTTATATGTTAGGTTTTTAGGTAATTTAGTTTCCTTTTCTCTGTAATTAATAATTACATACATGTTGAATTACTATTGTGTTTCTTTAATGAAACTGGGATAGCTAATACCTACTAAAGTGTGCCTCATAATCAAACTTACATGGGGATATGGGATGCATACCGGAATACCTGAGGAATCAATCTAGCTCTTCCCGTCATTCTAGGTGTAGAATTTTATCGATACACTCCTTCGAACTAAAAAAAACACTTAAATTAAGATCAAATTATGAAAACTCAGAAATACTTAATACTTTCAGTAAGTTGTATTTTGAATTACAAAGCACACAAAAAAGATACCACCCTAGCTCTAACCGTCTTTCTAGNTTTTTTTTTTTTTTTTTTTTTTTTTTTTTTTTTTTTTTTTTTTTTTTTTTTTTTTTTTTTTAAGAATATATATCAAACTTTTAAATTTCTGATCCGATGTGATATTTGAGTTTGAATGCATTTTGGGCACCCGTTATATTAACACTAGAAAGACAGAACATTGCAGTTTACTCGGAAAGACTTAAGGGGCCCAAATTGTTTAAAAGTAGATCAGTTAGACATCTAAATTCTTAAAATAAAATCATCGAAATCAAATACCTGAAATAAAATTTCGATCATCAAAATTCTATGGTAATTTATTCGATTCGGTTAACAAAAATATTTAAATAAATGGAACGCTGACTTTTCAATATTACTTATATGTTAGATTTTTAGATAATTTAATTTCCTTTTCTCTGTAATTAATAATTACAAATATGTTGAAATACTCTTGTGTTTTTTTAATGAAACTTGGGTAGCTAATATCTACCAAAGTGTGTCTCATACCCAAACTTACCTGGGGATATGGGATACATACCGGAATACCAGAGGAATCAATCTAGCTCTTCCCGTCATTCTAGGTATAGAGTTTTATCGATACAATCCTACGAGCTAAGAAAACACTTATATTAAAATCAAATTATGAAAACTCAGTAATACTTAATACATTCAGTAAGTTATATTTTGAATTGCAGAGCACAAACAAAAGAGGAACCACACGGGCTCTACCGTCTTTCTAGTGTTAAGGATGATAATTATAGAACTCCTTCAATATTTTAAATATTTTTTAGATCATAAACTGAACGAAAGAAACAACTTACTTGGTATACCTCCATCTGGTCCATTTTTAACGCTTACACCTAAACCTCTCCGAAGAACTTATTCAGCTAGGCTTGACAATGATTTTTCACATGGATCATCAAGTCCAAGAATCCGAAGAATCATTCGACCAACCTCCCTTTGTGTGGGGAATGAATTCTATGGAGATAGCGTTTCAGTCATAAATGTTCCAGCAGGGCAATCAAATCCTTACAGAGAAATATCTGAAGAAAAGTAAATATTTCAGTTTATAAGTTTCATTGTTATAGTCATTTTCTTTGTTTATTTAAAGAAGAACTTCACCCATAACAAGAAAAATACTTAATTTTTTTAGGTTGTAACATATTTAAAAATTTGACTTTGTTTCAGCTTTACTTATGTTTTTGTAAACATTTTACATGAATAATAAACGCATCATACGTTAATATAAAATTAGGATGACTGCTTAAAATTTCAATAGTACGGTCAAACAGTTCAAAACATTTTACATTATTTACACATGATACATATTTATAAAATTGGAATGACTTTTTTTCAATTTTCAGCTGAAGTTTAGCTCAAACCTATTCAACATTTTACATAACATTACACATATGCCAAGTTTAACAAAATTACCTGATGATAGACGATCTAAGAAAAAACCGATGGAGTAATCAAGTATGGTTTGCTGAGTTCTATTCAGTGAACTAGTTCTTTTATTCTCACAAAGTTTCCAACTAAACTACAAAGTTGGCAACAGATGGCGCTAGTAACTAAAAAGTTACGAAAGACTATTTTCTGTTGTAAGTCAGACCATTCCAACTGAAATATTTTCGCGGACGTCTGTTTATTCGATCCTCCAACTGTGCAAAGTGGTTTCAGCTAGTAGAGGTCATTTGAAAAACTCTGGCACTGCTAACTGAGAAAACTATAAATTTCTCAGTCAGCAGTGCCACCACTTCTCCAACTTTATAACTAATTTTGAAACTTGGTGAGAATAAAATCTGATAACCTAAGCAGAACTCAGCAAACTGTGCAAGCTATATCTTTCCATTTTTCTTTAGTTGATTATTCAAGTAACCGGTCACATTCCGGGCATTTATTTTGGATGTTTTAATAAAAGGATCTAAAACAGATGCTATCTTTGTTTAAAATTTTTAGAATTTTATCCTTTTATAAAAGGAACTAAATAACAAAATCTACTATACCCATTTTCAAGATTACAACAATTTTTTAAACCAGCATCTTATGTATGCTGTGAATTATTGCTTTGAATACCCAACATTCATCAGTATCATTTTGATTTTATGAAAATTTTGATTGAAAAAAGTTTTTTTGATAGAATAAATTATCCTTTATCAGGCTTACTTTATCTCTATTTACAGATAATTTTTTTCTCGGAAATACTGATAAACAGAGCAGAAATGTTACATTTCCGTTACGCAAATACTTTCTAGAGGTCGACCAAAGCTTTAGTGTCCCTTTATAAAATTAGACAGTTTTTCAAAACCCTTTTTTTTTCTATCTCTTAAAAAATGAAACAATTTCCCCTTGATGTGGGGAAACTTGAAATCTAAGTATATTATAGATGCGAGTGAAAAAAAATTTAATTAACCACTCAAATGCAATAGGTGTGTGCCTATTAGAATCCTCAAAAGTTAGCTTAAGTACAAGTACTCCCTCATAGTACATTCATATTTCTTTTTTCATCTTTTGCAGCTTAGCAAACTAAGTTACCCCAGTTTATGGTTCCTATTTTGTTACCTTGAAATTTTTTCTTAATGTTTTATAATAAAATTTTTTAGTTTATTTAAAGAAATTGTTACGTTTAAAGTTTTTTTGGTTGAGTCAGTATACTTTTGTAGAGTCTCAATATAGTCATTTCAATATAGTCATAATTAAATGACATGGTTTCATATTTCCATAACATTTACAAAAAAAAATTGTTTTCTTGGAGGTTTACTCTTTGACCCAAAATTGTTATTAGGCATACTTTTCATTACTTTATATTAATTTAGGTCAAAATAATTGACAAATTTATTTTGCATTTTAATAATTTATGGTTATGAACATGAAACATCGATGTCTTTTTCTGCGCTAAAGGTAAAACTTTCCAAAAACGGCACATTTTCAAATAATTTTTCATTCACTTATTTGCATCTATTTGCATCTAAGAGAATCAGAAACTCGAAATTGAAATTTCTTTCAGTTACGAAATCAATTATTGATAAATTTTTGAATATATATATAAAAGAAAGTTTTCTAAATTATTGTATTTTTATATTTCTGAACAAACATAATTCCGATAATCTAACGGATTTTTGTATCGACTATTAGACTGTTTTTTATAACTAAAAAATACCAAAATTTACTTTTGCTCCTAATTAGAGCATCAGAAAGAAAATATAATAGTGACACCGTTGTCCCATATGTGTAAAAGGACATTCTCAAATAAATTTTTTTTTATCTCTAAAATAACTTATTTTAAACTTAAACTTTATTTTCCGACCTTTTGTATTAACGATTCCTGTTTCAATTTCAAATTGTAGATAATTCAGTTTTTTACGATATATTATTGAATTCTTTTGAATTTCTTTCTTGTTTTAAATCTCATCGTTTTTTTTAAGTTAGATCGGTTTTTGTTTTTATTTCCTTTTAATTTCATCCTTTTTGAGATTTTATTGAATAAAGAAACACTTCTTTGAAGTATTGTAATTTTTTTTTCTTTATCACAGGTTTAAGAAATTTTCTATTTATTTTAAATTTCTGTTTTCAATTGTAATGATAGACTACTTTTATGCGTGCTCCTAAGTTTTAACATAAGCCTATAGTTTAGAAAAAAATTTAGAAAAATAAAATAAGTCATTAAAATATATGTTTATAACATCTTAAAATATGAAACATATACACTTTTCTGAGCAAAAATAATAAAGCGTTGCTAGTTTTTAGAAATTTTACTCCTTTCATTCAAATATTATTTTCCTAATTTTGTTAATTTGAATCATTTTAAATAAAATGTTTGAATAGTTCCCGAAAAATAATTTAAAAAATACTTGTTCTAAAATGAAAATAGAAACATTTTTAAGCATATTTTCCTGGAACCATTCAATCAATTTATTTCAACTAAAGTTTTTTTTAACATAAATTAATGTTCTTCATCTTTAAAAAATTTTAAATTTTAACAAAATTATAACGAATAATTATAACAAAAACGTAAAAAGTAAGTATAGTGTTATGGGACTAGAACAATCAACCATTCTACTGTCATGCCACATTTTCTAGAATGGTGTTACTTTCCTCCTGGACTACTTTCCTGTTGGAGTTAAAATTCCGAATATATACATTAAATCAAAAGTCTTTATTCAGAGAAAGTGCAGTTTTTTCTCTGATTTCTCAATAAAATTTAAACTTAGTGCTAGATAGATTGATAGATAGATAAATAGATTAGTTTTATTAATAATTTATAAAGTATATTTTCAGCCGATCCTTATCAGTGGTAATGAGTGGAATCTACGCTGTTTTCTTATTAATGTTTGGAGCTATAATCTACATGAATGATCAACACAGAGCACAGAAATTTTCTTCAGAGGTAATTTTTTTTTAAAAATTCATAGATCTAAACTGCACTGCATTTCAAACTTTATCTAAAAATATTTTCTATCTAAATATATTATTTTTAATTCATTTACTAACGTACAATTCATTTCGAAGCAACTCGATAGAGTCAACTCTCAAACAATGATAAAGTACGCTTTCTGTAACCCAGGTTCGAATCCCAACGATGGCTTTTAAATTCGAATCTCACTAACCAAAGTGCTAACAAAAGATATTTCTTGGTGTAAATGAATCGTGGGTCTAACCGTGTGGGAAAGTTGTGGTTTTCCTTCCTATGTAACGCAGATGTGGGTTATTTTCACACCAAAAATCCTCTATGAAGACAAATCTGTCTGAATACTTGATACAGGAACCGAGAGTTCCCTTGTCTTCTGTCTTGGGCTAAAAATTATAAGGCTACGAAGTTTAACATTGCTATAGCCGCAAACCTGTTAGTTTGCTGTTCAAAACCAGTAATAAAATTAGTTATGCGGTTCTAAACAAAAGAAATATTTGCTTGTCCAACTTGTGAATAACATTTTCATTTTTTTAAATCAATCTGAGTTAATCTCTTGGAATCTCCCGACCAACTGGAAATGAAAATAGTTTTTCCAAAAGTCTATTTTTCAAGCCTGTGGTCACGATTTCTCATGCTCTGATCTTATTGAAATTCATCTGGATAGAGTTGTTTTGGAATTTATTTCTTTTCATCCAAGCACGAAGGTAATATATGCTCTACTAAATATCGCACTCGCAGTTAACTCAGCCAATATTTAAATAATTCTTTCAATACCTACCTAAAAGATGTGTGTATTTATTTTTGCATACAGATTGGGATGCATATCATTCTGAGATGTAAAATAATATGCATGGAAATAATTTATTTTAAACAATTACTTTACAATTTTATTTTAAAAAGAAACAACGTTTTTTCATCGAAAGCGAACTTCAATCATTTTTTAAAACTTTGGAGAACAGTTGTAAAAATTTATGAAGAGTTAATTATTAAATTATAACTAATTTCGTTACCAAGAAAGATTGATTTCTGGAATGGCATCTAGGGCACGTGACCCAACCTTAAAGAGATTCCCGATATACAATTAACTGTTATTTCAAAATTTATTGAATAAAGTATAAAGTCAAAATTCCACTTAATTTTTTTAATTAAATTCCTCAGCATATTTTGTACTTATACTGTACTCAGAGCTTGAAAATATCAGTCCTCCTCAGTAAATCAACCCCGTTTTCAAATCAAGAACGAGCTTTCTTTTTAATTGAACATCAATTTTCCATAAAACTATTATTTTTTTTTAGAAAATTAAATCAAAATTCCAAATCCATCTTAAATGGATGAATAATGGATTTTCAAATAATGGATTCCAAATTAAAAGGAATAATGGAATCCAAATTAAAAGGAATAATGGAATCCAAATTTAAGATTTCCATTATCATATTTTGGAAAATAATCCAACATTTTTCGAAAGAGAATTTAACTTTTTAAAAAGAATCTCGGATTCTTAAAAATACATGAAATAAATAGTCCCTTTTTATAAGTATTTGCCCAGAGTATCTCAATTTGAAAATTAATCCTTTAGTTCAAATTGTACTCAAACTCTTACAATAATTCAATATATGAAGGATTTGAAGCAATATAATAAGCCACATTTTCAAAATAGTTAGAGGGCGTTTATTTTTAAAGCTTGCTTAATGAGAGACATTTTCACATAGTCAGTAAGATGTTTTAGAAACTTGTGAAAAACCTCACCGGAACCAAAACAAAAAAAATAGTGTGGCCTGAAAATGCCCCCTTTCAAAAATGTGCAGCTTCTCACTATATTACCCCAAACCCATCCTTTAGAAAATAACTAAATTTCAATGAAACTTTTTTGTTGCTTTTAGGTTTTCAGTTCTGTCATTTCCTTAATGGGATTGCTATGGTTGATTATATTCCATGTTGATCTATGCCGTTATAAGAATACAGTATTGAAACAGTTAAAGGAAAGAGAAGATGCGATGCAAGAAGCGAGCGAAAAATTTAGCGTTGCAACTGAATATATCATCAATTCTGGTTTTAACATTCCATTGAAGGAAAATGCGACGGAAGGGAAAAAGTTGGAACCGCCGCCCTATAGGTTTCTTCTAGGGCGACACAGTGGAAGTTTTTATCTGAAAATTGGATCTGCGTGTAAGTATCCTCTTAAAAACATTTTGAACTTAATGCTGGTTAAAACAGGGTAACTTTCCTGTTCAAATTCATGGCAATAGTTGACAAACTTCTAGAATTATTTGAACCTAATTTGACTTACATTCTCTATTGCTTATTTTGAGTCATTTATAGTAAGTAAAATAATTTGATTTATTGAAGGAGTATATCTTTGTTTTAGGTTTTTGCTTTGGATACCTAATATATCAGGGACTTCAGCTAGGACAGCATATATTGAATTTTCTAGATGATGAGATGAAGCTTCTGAATTGCTCTCGTCATTCATCTGTTGTTTTGCATGTCATTGCCCCAATCTTTGCTTTCTATCAACTTTTCATCACTTTCAAATATTCGAATGTAAGTAATTTAACCCTTTTTTTTTAAATCCACTTGTTTTTATTTGTTCTAAGGCTTTTTTCTTACAACAAGATTTAGTTAGGGGACGAATTTTGACACGCTTAATATTACATAAATAAAAATTCGCATGCACAAGACTTTGTTTAACTGAAATTGGACATCAAAGATGTATCATTTAAAGAGTACTCATACACAATCCATAACGAGCCTATCTACATTCGCATGGCTGCAGCCATATTTACTGCGATGTAGTAAAGTGGCTATAGTGCCACCTAGTCGAAAACTGGAGTTTGCGTTTCTATCTCGAAAAATACGAAGTTCTAGAACCTCATCTATGCAGCATGAATATACGTAAGGAGAGGAAGGTAATGCTAAGAAACGAACGCTTCCAGTTCGCTTTTATTTGTTAAAATTTTTCTACACGTGACGAAATGATCTTAGGCTGGGAAAAAAACAGCTAGACAATATACCTTTATTTTCGATATACAAAGCTTAAGAAAAATTTAAAAATCGAAAATAAAGGTATCTTATCGTGGATAACTAGTTTGTTTTCTTCGTTTCGTCACAATTAAGTTGTGGGAAATTCCGAACACACAAATGCAAGATTTATGTGTTCTTTTTTTTTTTACACCTTTTTCCACAAGGTTACCATTCTCATTGAGTTGATGATGCCATACAACTTTGCAATACTAATAAGTGGAATTCCTAGCCGGAAATAGATAATGTAAAATTAATTCTAAATTCCATAATCAATTCAAGCTTATCATGAAATTTTAACTATTTGTCAAATTGTACAGGAATGGTCGCTCAGGTTTTTGTTCTGCACTTGTTGTCATCCAACACTAACCTATAAGTATTAATGATTACAATTGTAGCTATGATTACAAATACAAACCAATGATTATTAGCAATCCTAATCATTCGAGAATACTTAATATCAAAGTTACTTGTAATAATGATTTTTGTGTGATTAAAATTTGATTTTCATCGTAAATAAATCATATGATTACGAGTAATATATTATTATGTAATCATTGTCTGCAACTGTTAATCAAATATGTAATCTTCGCTCATATCTGATTCTTTATAGTTCTTGAAAAATTGGTTTTCGTAAAAAAATTATCTTGGTGGCATTATTTCACTCAGTCACGATATCTGTTTTCAAATGCCCGTTAAAAGGTGGCCAATTCCCAGTTTTAATACTGGAATACTGGAGGCTATTCAAAGCTCTTACAAATTTTCTCTGTTTCATAAAGTAAAAGAGCTTTTCTTTTCCATGCTCTTCATTCACGAATTGTGATTATTAATAGGATTAAAAGACATGCTGGTTTGAATCCTGGCAACAGCTAAACACAGCAGGCGCAGTGCTAATAAAAAATGTCCCTAGTGGTAGAAATCATGGTTTATTTTATTTCTGTCGGGTTAACCATTGAAGGTTTTCTGATTTTTATTCAAGTAACGCAAGCTAAATGAAAAATAGTTTATTTTTACTTAATAAATCCGTCTCCATTCAAAAGTCCCTTTGTCTTTCGAGTTAAGTTCACAATTTCTAAGTTATGGGGTTTCACTATGATACAGATGCAAACCAGATGTGGATCTGCTGTTCAACGCCGGTGGTAAAGGATAATTATTTGCATGCAATAAATGCTATTCACACCTTGTTACTTCATTTAACAGTTAAATGAAATTAATAAGCAACAGCGTGTTATAATATAGAATTCTTTTGTTATAATATAGAGGGTGTTCCTTAAAGATCACCCTCAATATGCTTTTTTAGTATCCTTATCGAAAATGCAAACCAAAAGTATTACCGTTGGGGGTCAAAAATTAATATTTAACCAAGGAAAAAAAACAAAAACGCTGTCGAAATATGCGAAACCACAGTACAGAAAGACGGTAATAAAACAACAAGAAATGATTGAAGAAGGAAATAGAGAAGAGTTGAAAGGTGATTATCAGAAACGTTATCAGCTTTCAACCTCCCAATAAACCTATTTTGGTGTTATTTACATTCACTACTGTAACTGGTCAGATTTTAACAGCGTTTTTATTTTTTCCTCTGTTAAATATTAATTTGTGACCCTGTTATTACTTGTAAAAGAAATCCGATATTGTTTCTGGTGTTTGTGAGATCTGAAATTTCTATATCCTTAATAATTAACATTTTGAAGATTACTTTCTTTTTAAATATATATTTGTGCTTCATTCAAATATTATAAAAATTGCATTTGTTATAAAGGGTGCCTACTGAACTTCATTACGTGTGCACCTCTTAATTACCTCTTAATTTTTAACTGGATATAAAAATGGTGTCTAGATGTAATAAAGTAGATATGTGGTACAAAGTGAAATCTATACCGCAGAGGACTGCTCGTAAGGACACCGGTTCCCAGTAGAACACCCAAGTCAAGCATCACTGGTTGCGGTCAGTAAGCAGGTGGGTGACCACTTTGATCAGCCTGCGTAGGGACCGAGGGTGCGCGTTATCGGTCCTCGTTAAGCTGTTCTACCGTAAAGTGCTCGAGGTAGCAGGTCGTTGGTCTACCAAAGCAGGGGATCCATCCCCTCTGCAGAGGATCAAAATTGCGATGGCAGGTCCTCAGGGATGTTTCCCAGACCGTCGCTAATAGCCCATTGTGCAGCTCTAGTGCAATGTAAATAAAGTACCTACATGGTGAGATCGTTTACAGCATCTCTCGCTGAAAACTATTGAATTAGCCTTAATATCTCGAAAATTGTACGAGAGAGGGGGAAAAGTGGATTATTCAATTGTTGAGCCTTTGTTAGGAATCCATATCTTTCATCATTTTTGAGAAAGAAACGCTATCTTTACCGTTTTATGCAAGGTGGAACTGCCAGCTGTCTCATCGTTTTGAGCATAGCCACTTTAATATGCCTAGACACCATTTTTATGACTATAGCTGCAGCCTTTCGAAAGTTATGCTGGTGCGGCATATCTGTTAATAAAACGTTAATAAACAGTTTGAACTTTTTTTTTAGATTGTTATAAATAGAATGAAAGCTTTAGCAAGGTTCGGTCTTATGCACCTGATTGCTACATGTATGTGCAACTGGTTTAATACAATAGTTGATGAAGCTGTTGAAGATTATACTCATATGACTAATAATGTCTCACTCTCAGAATTCGGTAAGATGAGCTATATTTCTATAAAATTGTACATACACCTACAAAAAATTATATCTTTTAAAGCAATTTTCAAATTACTTTCAGAATCTTTGATTGTATTTTGAAGATTTTACTTTTTCTTCAAAATATCTGTATTTTTCGTAGACATTTCTGGGTCATTTTGAAGATTTTTCTTTCAAAATGTTTACGCACGATCTCATTGCTACCTTCATGCGTTTGTCTCCACAACCGGCTGTTGTGTGAATACTTTAAATTTTTATGAATTAATATGGGTTAATTTCTAAAGGCATCAAAAGAAAATAGGGAATAGTATTTGACCAACTCCATATGCTGTGAAATATTTATATTTCTTGATGATATGCCGTGCGTTAATATTTTTTTATTTTTCAAGTAACTTATACATCTTTACAAAATACGCAATTAAATTTTACATTCGTAGCCAATGCTGAAGCTGTGGGAATATTCGATCTGAACTGTTTTTTGTTACTTCCCTGGAATTATAATAATTATAGTTTTTATTTTTCTTAACATTATCATGAAATAATGCAGTCTCTGGAACATATGGACACTTATTAGACCCTATATTATTAAAACTAATACCAGAAGATTTAACTTTAGAATACAACCGCAAGCGAAAATCAAAGTCAGAGTTTAATGTTTCGGAATTGATTCAATTTATCAATATTAAATACGGTGAGATGATCTCAGGGTTTAATGATTATAAAACGCCTTTAACAAAATATATTTAATAACAAACACGGATGATGGTAATTATACAGTGGCATGGAGGAAACTCATTACAATTAATGATGATTTCACATTGCTGCGTAGAGCATCTGTTTAGTTTTCGAAATTATTATTTACATTGAGAAATATTATTAACACCGTGTACCGATTCTAACATAGAATATGTAATTCATACTGCATTGCCTTCCAATTTTAAGTCCATCTCTATAGCAACTCTTCGTATATAGTTAACATCACGTACTGTGCGACTACTTTGCTAACCGTTTTTGCGTCCCTATCACAAATAGTGTGTTTGGGTGTATCATCTCATATATATTATTATTTTGCCTAACCATATCTATTTTCATTTTCCTCAGTTAGATGCTTTCACAAAAAAATGTTTTAGATCTGTTCGGAAAATCTGTATTAGTATTCTCTGCTTTGTCTACCATACAACCTGCATGAAACTTAAGTTTCTAAACACATATCATTTGAAAAGCAATGTAACGCTGCTATTCGAGCACTATAATTGGTGAATAATTTATAAAACATATTATTATTTAGTTAACAGTCTGCGACTCTTATATAAGGTCTTATTTTAACTTCTTGCAAAAAGGCATTAAAAATCTAATCTGAACACTTGGGACACAAAATATGACAAAATTATTTTAACGTTCACAAGGAACAATGTAACGAAGGATAACTTTTGAAGGAAGGGTAAATATAAGACTTTAAATGTAATAAAAGACGATCAAATTTAAAAACTCACTCCTGAAAATATTTGATTTAAAGTATATAAATATTGTACTTTTGTTTACCTCTAAACAAAACCGATATTATTATAGATAGTCATCACTTTTGTCAAAAACACTTACAAATAGCATCTTATCAAATATTTTTAATTTAGAAAGATACGAGGAAGACTATTAACTTGGAAAAATGTGATAGAATATTAGATAAAATACCTTTGCTAGTTTAATAAATTTTGTATCCAGTTGCAAAATTGGATGAATGCAATTCAGATTTATTTTTTTTTACTTTAAAAGAAAATTACTTCTTCTGCAGAAGCTGTTTTCACTTTCTCTAAAAAAAAGTCCTTCTCTAAAAACACTCTAAAAACAAACTTTCTCTAAGAACAGAGCATAAATAAAGGAATTGAATTGAAATAGGAATAAAGTCACTAAAAATATTAAATTTAAAAATATTTTCATACAATGATAAAAATATTCACACAAAAATAAGAATATTTTTAATTAAAATAACCGATGGAGCTATAAATGAGTTTGAATGCACAGCTTGTTCAATTTTCAGACCTTAAGAAGTATAAAAGTGATGTTAATATTGTGCTAAAAATTTTTGTTTTATTAGCTTTCACTATAAAGCTTAATCCGATCAGTTAAAACTTCAGATTTCGCAACTAAACATAATTATTTGGAAATATTAAGCATGGTGATGGCTACAAATTTGTTAAAATACCTATTCTTTTCTTACTTATGCTACCACTTTTTAAGTTTAAGAACAGTATGAACCCTGATTTAGTATCAGATTTCCTCCCAAGTTGGAGTTTTTAGAAACTCACTAGCTTTTTTAATTTTTTTTCTCCTTTAGAATTTTATTTTTGCCAACTCTTTTTCAAAGGTAACTCCTTAATTATCGTCTATTTGTAATAGTTTGAATAATGTTTTAACTAAAATTACTTCCATTATATAAAGTTAAAAAAAAATCTGGATGTCGCTAACGAAGATACAGCTGAGCGAATTTTATATCTATTCAATTTTATTTATCCTCTAACTTTAATGCAGTTATTGTAATAAACACGTTTCATTTATTGCAGATATTGCAACCTTTCATATAACAGTTGAAAGAAGTAAAGAATTGGGCCATCCTGTCAACTGCACTTCTAACTCAATTCTTTCTACACGTTCCATGAGTGCTATACCTTACCTTTACCCATTCGCTATAGAATACAATCTTCTACTAGCTGGTGTATGGTTTATAGTGTGGCAAAACATTGGAAAAGAACACACGCATGCCAATCCTCACCATTTGAGGCATACCATTTCACAAGATGAAGAAGGCAGTGAAGCAATCGCTTATCAAAGTAATCTTGTAATTAATGCAGATTGCCATGCATCGAACAAAGGTTTGTTCTCTGGGCTCTTCCTCATGCTAACTGTTGTCGTTACAGTAATAGTTTTCTTTGTTGCTATGTCAACAAAAGGTTACCAATCGAAGGCCGTAATAATCCATACATGTCAAGAAGGTGTACTAACAATAATAGGACTCATAACAGTGATTATATCGTCCTATCAGATCCGAAAATTAGACCGTAGTGAACATCCAATCACTTTTCTAGATGATGTTCTTTTATTTGTACCTCTTCCATTTTTCTTCGTACATGGAATAATGTCTATCATGTCAGAAATAGATAATGAAAACTACTCCAGACTTGCCTTGCATATTTTGGTTACAATTCAAGTGGTGGTACAAACTCCCTTCATAATTGATGGCTTGAGAAGATGTAGCAATTCTCAGGTACTTAGATATAAGAAACCAGGAAGAGAGGTTATAACATTCATGATTATTCTAAATCTTACTGTTTGGATCGTCAATACATTTGAATTAAAAAGTGTTGAGCAGTACCATGGACAAGGAGAATATTTTGGTGAACTAGTATGGCTTTTCATTGGGCATACTTCTCTTCCACTCATGTTGTTCTATCGTTTTCACTCATCAGTTTGTCTTGCAGATATGTGGAAATCAGCTTATGAAAAAGAACTTTAAAAACATGATGATGTACTAGTATGGCTTTTCATTGGGCATACTTCTCTTTCACTGATGTTGTTCTATCGTTTTCACTCATCAGTTTGTCTTGCAGACATGTGGAAATCAGCTTATGAAAAAGAACTTTAAAAGCATGATGGTGGTTACGATACTTAAAAAATGCTTGGTTGAATTTAAGTTTTTAGTAACTTTTCGAAAACTCAATGTAATTTATTGATACATGCCATACGTAAACATTTATATTTGTAAATATTTTCCTCATTTAAATGTTATACGGGCTTTTACTAGTAAGAGGCAGACTATGAACTGATTTTAATCATGTTGATAGTTAAAAAATTATTATTTTCGTAGCATGCAGTTGTGATTTAGTAAATATTTGAACACTTCAACTATTTCAGTTTTGAACCATAATTAAATTTAAGCCCTGCTCAAATGCTCTTACAATCTCTAGTATAATTTAAAATAAGTCAAAACTGGAATTAGCTTTTTTTTTTTACACTTAAAATAGTTTAAAAGTTTTTTTTTTTAATGAGGTCATACTTCTGAAAAATTGCAGCTCTCACAATTCTATTAGAACCATTGTTGAACAATGGTAAATATAGTAACAAGCGGATTTCTGAATCTTAGCAATCAACGTTCATTGCATTTTTTAAGCAAAAACTCTCCGAAACCTTATGAAAAATTGTTTTGAATTTCTTAACTTTCTGATAAAAAGCAACGATTGCAAGAGTAAAGTTTTACTTTATGCTTGGGTATCCAACAGTTCTTTATTCACTTACATCCTTATTTACCTTATGTTGATTTACTGTTATATTTTTTCTGCGTAATTTCACTATTTAACTTTACTATTCAATCACGTAATTTTACTATGAAACAATACTATGTAGCGTTTACTATGAAATAATGACAAGTCTTTTTCTCTTTTTTTGTATAGTTTCGCAGTTTGTTTTATCAGAAATAATGTAACTAGTAACATTTTTAATGTCAATTAATGGCTAAATGTTAACATTTTTGAAAAACTTTAAATAGATTCAGTTTTTTATAATGCATTTTCTATGGATTTCATATACAATACTAAGATTAGGAACAAAGGTTTTTCAGAAGCTCTACAATAAAAAACATTAAATATACACTTTCTCAGATGCTTCAAACACAATTTCAATACTTTTTACGAGGTTTTTTTAACGGTCGTTGTTTTACAACTGTTCTCACATAACTCTTTACAAAATAAATCTGCAATATACTAAAATGAAAAAAAAATTTGTTTCAAGAAAGTTTGCATCTTTTAAAAGTCAGAACCCTGTGTTTCCTTTTATGTAAAAATTGTAAATATTTGAGTGTGTGTGTGTGTTTTTTTTTAAATATTTCATTTATGTAAAAAATACAAATGTATGTAAATATTTCAGAAATTTTTGTACATAAATAAGAAATATTGTATGTCCTTGCATTAAAATTAAATTTTCTTTACGTAGTTCTAATTTATTATTATTGCAACAATGATGCGCTTAAACATAAAGTATCTTAAAACGAATAACAATACATAAGAAAGAAAGCATTAAAGTATAACCCTGAATGCCGTATGCAGGTTGTTAAAACTGATGCTTCAAATAGTTATAACAGGTAGAGTCTGTTCCTTTTGTCTCTTATTAATTTCATTTTTTCCATATTGAAATACTAAAATGATGTCAACATCACTGGAACAGTTTCTTTGTAAAGAATATCTTGGATTACCAAACGTACCAAAGATTAACCAATACAACAGTTTTAACAGTACAATTCCTACTGTCACGTACTTAGTTATAATGAATATTTTGGACTGATAGTTATTAAATGTATCATTAAATATCATACCACATAACCGCTCTTAATAGTTTTTAAACAGCGTGCCGTATATATCTGTGTCTAAGTCGCCCCATTGGAAAAGTTGACCCCTTATTTTTGATGACGAGATAACAATTTCTGGTGTGCCAGATGTATATGTCGAATGCTGGAAAAAAAACAATATAAGAAAAAAACAAAAAATTATTAAGCCTACACAATTTTTTAAAGTTATTACTTCCCATTCTTCTCTCAGGATGTATTTGTCCTCAAATAAAATACATTACGTTATTAAATCCGACATTGATGTTCAGTAATCCTTAAATTGATAACTCTTTATGTTTTAAAAGTTTTCATTGCATAGTATCTTTTGAATTATTTTTTAATAAATTAAATTTTTCGTATTCTAAATTTTTTAATGTGTTTTTAAAAATACCTTTGTAAAGAAAATACAAAAGTAATTGTTTGTAACATTGTAATATATTAAAAATAGCTTTTAAAAGGGGTAAATTGATAGTTATTCTTATCTACCTTATTGCTTGCATTGCATCGATATTCCACGATCAACGACTTAATTACGGATGTATGTCAACCCGCCCCCCCCCCTCGATTTTCGTAAAATTTTGGGGATTCGAAAAGTTTACTTAAACACCAACATATACAATAATTTGAGTTATGTTTATAAATGATTCAAGAAAATTGCGTTGCATTAATATCCTTCAAAAATGCTTATTTAGAGAAAATATAAGAATTTATGAGTAAAAATTTATGTTTTAGGCCCTTGTTTGAGATATGTTAATTTTATTCTTTAAAATCTTAGCATTCTATCCTATATTATTTCCTTGTATTTCTCGTTTTAATTATACATTACGTTAAGAACACAATCTAAATTGAAAATCTTATAGAAATGTTTCACTAAACTCCATCTAAAGAATATTTAAGAAAAAGAAATTCTTGTGTGGCATCAGTAAAGAAAAAATGAAGCACTTCAGTTACAGAAACCCTTCATAAATAGATCGGATTATATTTCTCCGCACTTCACTATGATTCATCTTTTCTTCTTCAACACCATCACTTGAACGTCTCACAAACAAAGTCATTTTTTTAAAAACCTTAAGAAACATGTCTTAAATACTGAGTCAAAAAGTAAGTACAATATCATTATCTCAATATGACAATGACAGTAGAATATTATTTATATTCCATTTGTAAGATTTATCTACAACGCTAGCTGTTTTAATTATTTATATCGATGAAGCTAACTTTTTATTTGTTTACTCCTTGCTTTGTAGATCGAATAGATATGTATTATATGAAGATTAGATCTGTAGATAAATGATACAAATGCATATGATTTTCTTTTATTATGCATAGAAATTTACAAAATACTTACATCGTTGCATACAATACAAAATACGTATTGATAAATGCAAATAAATTAGTTCAGCTTAGTATATGATAACAGTACTGCGTTTTTTAGTGATTAACCACTTCAAAAAAATTTAGTAGCTTGCATTTATGAAGCAGGTGATAAAATTTTATAAAACTCGTCAGTAATTATTACAATTGTGAAGTATAAAATAATTGTAATAAAATTCTAAAACTTAAGAAAATATTCTTAAAATTATTCTTGAAAAAAAAAACTTTATTGTTATTTTTGATCCAAAATGTGAAATTAGGTTATTTTAATTAAAATTTTATTCATTTCTGATAATATTGGTGCTTAAAAGTACCTTACCATATGGATATTATAATGACGAAATAATGACAAAATTTGGTGCTGTTGGATAATTGACTAATTGAAGATTGCGATGAAAACAGGATAATGAAAATTACCGTTGAAGAGGAAACTGTATCATAATTGTAATAAAATTTTTATTCAGCAGTATTTGTAGACCTCGAGATACGAAATTAAAAATATGTTTTTCCATACAACTTTCTAAGTGAAATAAATTTCGCATAATAATATCGATAAGAACAGGCCATGGGAGATAAATCCCCCATGACCAGCGTAGTCAAATGCCAAACTAAAAAAGAGATTGAGTGTTTCCCAACAGACAGTTAGGACCATGGGAAACTATCCATGTTTGGCGATTTATCGAAGGATAAAATAGCTAAAAAGAAAGCCAAACCTCCGTAATCAATATTGAATTTAAAATAAATCGCCAAAAAGGATCTTGAGAATTAGTATAACCTTGTAACTGAAACATTTCCGTGGTAAGAGAAATAAAGAATAATAGTAAAAGTAGATTTTGATGTTCGATTAAATCGCGATAGTGAATTAATGAGTTTTGCATTAGTATTGAAATAAAAAGTTCGCCTTTACATTGATTGTTAAGAAGAGAATAAAATATTTATATTTGCTTTTTATAAATTGTAATAAAAATAATATAATTGGATGAATTTAATAAAAATTCGATTAAGACTGTTTAAAAAAATTACATTTATGAATTTAAAGAAATTTTAAAGGGTAGGAACTATGCAAGGCCTATTATGGCATCACAGATATTAATAAAATTAAATTCCGAATACTTAAATTTGTATCATATGACAAACAAGGCTGTATTAAAAATTATTCTGAGTTTATTTTTTCTGAAAAAATTTTAAGTAAAATATCCCGAAGATTACTCCCGCAAAAAATTCCGAAACAAAGCCATTTTAGAAACACTTTGTAAGATAATTTTCTTTATTTACTGACTTTTTTTATGAAAAATTTTTTTAAAAAAAGTACTTTCTTCTAATAATTACGATATACCTACTGTTTTTATTCCCGATTTGAAATTCAAAATATTAAAATATTTTATTAGTTTCAAACTTCAGTATGATTGATTTAAGCGTTCATTCGGCAATAAATAAGTTAGGTTTTAGAAAACAGTTTTTGCATTTTCTTAAACAAGTTCGTAAATAACATAACTAAATTAAAAAGTTTAATATATAAAAGAACACACAGAAAAAAAATAATATTGACTTAGCTTAACATAATTATTAACTCACATTATTAAAAGGTAAAGTTTATCCAATTTAAAGTGACATTGTACTAGATGTTTAAAGCATTTTTAATACTCTTTCGTTGACTTTGTAAAGTGAAGTTTCTTTTTTTTTTCTTAAAGCATTTTATTTATTAGTATGTATGCTAATTTTTCAACTATAGTTAAGTTGAAACTAAAGTATAACTTATTTTTGAAAACTTACAAATTAGCTTAGAAGTATAAAGATATGTGTCTTAGTTTTAAGAAACGACTGGAACTATTTTTAAGAAATTATACATAGAGGAATATAAAAATGTATATTTTATGATGATTGATTGCAGAAAATCTTCGGCCAGTATATTGTTACTTTAATTTGATAAGAATAAAAGGTAAAAGGTAAATTATTTATCATTATTTAATATTCATTACAGTACAGTTTTTCGTCTGCTTCTTTTACAAGATTTATATATCTTTTTAATGTTATATGAGTCAACAACCAAAGATTGAAATAAGTTATAAAAATAAACTTCTGCACTGTATTCAAAATTTTCTAAAATATGCAGTTGAAATAATGAAAAAGTAAATTTGATTTCATTGTTAATGAAATTGAATTCACGTTTTTCAGACACCATACCCTGCATCAATGACTAGAAATATCAAGTTTTTAAAAAAAGTTATACAAATCTTATATTTTGTTTCAATTAAAAAAAAATACCATTAGCTAACTTTAGAACATTTAAAAAAAAACAATGAAATGCAGCAAATGCTTTGGAAAAAATACTTAACAAATAATATAGATGGAATTTAAAAAAATGTTTTTATATTATTTATAAAGTGGTCTGGGCTAAAAAAAAAATTTTTCAAATATTCAACCTATTTTGAATATATTTTGAATAATAAAAATATTCAAAATGTGAAGGAAACAGTCTAAGCCTTTGACGCAGATGGAACACGGGTGTCCTTTTTATATATTTTTTCATGACGCTCTAATTACAAACAAAAATATACTTTGGTATCTTTTAATTCTAAAAACAGTAATATGTACAAAAAAAATTTGTTACATTATCGGAATTTATTTGTACTTATTTGTACTTATTTGTACATTATTTGTACTAAAATATAAAATCCAAGAAAAAAAGTTTTTTGAATAAATTTTCATTCATATTCAAACATTTATCAATAATTGATGTTGTAAATTAAGGAAACTTCAATGAGGAATAACTGTTTTTCTTAGATTTAAATAACTGCAAATAGGTGCAAGTTTTTAAAAAAATAGCTGATTGGAAATGAGCCGGAAGATTTTACCTTTCACGGAGAAAAAGACACCACTGTTTCATACAGTATTTTATTACCATAAATTATTTAAATGCAAATTATAATATTCTTCAATTATAAATAATTAAAGTGATATTCAATTATGCAGACAGTGATTATGCAATTATAAATTATTAAAGTGATAAATATAATATTTTCCTCTTATTTGGACCTAAATTAATACAAAATAATTAAAAAAGTGCTAAAAATATGTTTAATAAAAATTCTGAGTCAAAGGATTAAAGACAAATTTCTCTAAAAAATACTTATACTGTATGAGAAATAATGAATAAGGAATATATTGTTAAGGTAGGTAGGTACTTTATTCACGTCACACTACAATTGCTCTATGGGCTAGCGTCGACGGTCTGGGAAGCATACCTGAGAATGATTCGAAGACATGCCATAGCAATTTTAACCTTCTGCAGAGGGGATGGCTCTCCTGATTTGGTAGCCCGACGACCTGCTTGCGAATTCGAGCACTTCACGGTATAATAGTTTATTGAGGGCCGGTACCTTGCAACCTCGGTCCCTAAGCTGGCTGATCAAAGTGATCACCCTCCTGCTTACTGACCGCAGCCAGTGATGCTTGACTACAATTTTCTACTGGGAACCGTGTCCTTATGATCAGTTCACTGAGGAACCAATGATTGTATGAAGACGTAGGAAACTATCTGTTAACAGTGGCTCAAAAACATGCTGTAACTATAAAATAATTGTTGAATTTTAGCTTGTTTATCTCTCAACTATTATTGATTGTTTATATCAACCATTATTATATTAACTATTGCTATTATTGGTTTAGTGTATTTGAATATAAATTTGATAATAATGAGTTATTCCCATTCACGTTGACATTGGTTAATAACTTATTTATAACGAAACTGATAATGAGCTTTTCTCTACAGGTATTTGGTAAATGCCCCTGAGATTTTCAATACTGATGGGATCAATAAGTGATTTAAATTTTCAACAGACCTGAAAATAACTTTAAAACCCAAACGCTTATTAGCAATTTTGTAGCAAACGGTAATAAAACGGTACAGTATTAAAGTAGTACTATATGTCAACAATGCTATATGCCACAATTCAAAACAAAATGTTATGAGTAAAAAAAAATTTAAATACTCTTAAGACCCACTTGTGTAAAATATTATGAAGGAATCTCTTATCAAACCAAAAAAGGATTTAATAACTCATTTGAGGATAGGTAGGCAATTAGCTGGAAATTAGTGTAGAGTATAAATTTGAATGCATTAATGTTCTTTTGCAATGTAGTAAATATCGTTATTATGGCATTCAACTCTGCTAAGATAGAAAATCATTCCCAAACAATCATGTTACTTCCCTACATCGAATTAACATTTTATGCCTTAAATCACCTTTAGGATTCAAAAGTAGTAATTTCAGTTTTTTAACATTTTTTTTTCAATTTTTATATCATCTGATTGAAATACTCAGTACTATTTAAATCTTTGATTTTTCTTTGTATCCCTTTTTAAAAGAAATATTCCCATTATTTCTTTTTAAGTTTCTCTACATTTTTTTGCTGGTAGTTAACAATTTAAAATATTACATTTGAATATTTTCAGCTTTAATTGCCAACATGGAGAAATCAGGTGACAAAGATGACCATTGCTGGCCATCTAACACCATGTACAGTCAACATCCATCCTTAAGAAAACTGGAACCCTTCGAAAAACAATATTTAATAGCTGTGGAAAGAGGAGATGTTGTTCGAGTTACAAGGTAAAATAATTTTATTTATTACTTTACTGAACATATACTATCCTATATGTAACCTTAACTTTTTTCTCCCTACTGTTTATTCAATAACTTTCATGTTTCTGCGTAAATATATTTTTTTAACTATTACTAATAATTAGAACCCAGATTTGCATGACCTTAGAAATGCCTATAAATGCCTTTAAAAACGCAAAGAAATGCCCTTGAAACTGAAAAAAAAAGTCCTTAAAAATGTAAAATATGCCCTATTAATTAAATAAAAGTATTAAACTAAAGCAATAATTTCCTCTTAAAATTACTTTCATTCGTCTCAAAATATATAAAGCAATACAATGTATGCTCCACGTTCATTTAAGTGAGAAATAAATGTTATATAATAAAATAACAAAAAAAGGAAAATATATTGATTTCTGCACTATATATTTTCTGAACGATTTCTGCACTATATATTTTCTGAACGATTTCTGAACTATATATGAAACTTCCTATATTACTCGATATCTGAATTATATTGGATTATTAAATTACACAGTTTCGTTTAATTGTGAACAATAGTAAATTCTTTTCTCGAAAACTGTAATGTTCCAAATAATAAAAATCAGAGAAAATGGAAAGCTATTATAAAGAATTACTTCAAAAGATTTTATATAAATAACATAATGAGAAAACATGATTGCAAGTAGTATTGTGAGTTGCAACATAAAATGTACATAACATACATAAACCTTGTTTTTAATGTAATGAAAATGACTCAAAGCCGAAGAATAGTAAAAAAATGGAATAAAGAATACCCCCAAAACTTAAAAGAGGCACTAAAAAGCAAAAAATGCCCTGCAAAATGCATAAAGAATTTAAAATGTCATAAAAATACGGGCCTTCATAATAATACTCACGTTCAACCAGTTTGTTTATAATACAAATGAATTCCGTATTAAATAAATTCCCTGCCAAGTTACAAAATTAAAAATTTTAATAATAATAAAGATTTACCTCTTACCTGTAACCTCTAAACTATAGTTTCTTCAAAACATGTTTTGATCAACCCCTTGATGCAGAATTTTTATTAAACATATTTTTCATACTTTTTTTTCATTATTTTGTATTAATTTAGGTGCAAATAAGAGAAAAATATTATATTTAGCATTTTTGAAGTTGAAGGTGAAACCTTCCAAACACAGCTCATTTTTATTATATATATATATATATATATATATATATAGTGGAACCTGTAAAAGTGACCACCTGGGTAAAGTGATCACCTGAGTAAGGTGACCATTTTCTATAAGTTTTATTTAAAGAGTCCTTTTTAAATAGTCTTCATAAAGTGACCACTTCTATATAG